GCATATGCATTTATATACTACTTGAATAAACCTAATTTGTTTTCTTTGTTAATGGCATGTTTCCACTCCATTCATTGAGGTTCTATTTTTGATGCCCACATTTTCTGCCTTGGTGGAGTCTCAACATCATAGTATGGAAATACAGGGAGAAATAAGACTTAGAAACTCAATATGCCAATATTCTTCTGTCTACTATGGAACAAAATCCCTGGAGAGAACCACACCACAAGCCAAGTGATCTAGATGGGCGGGTGAGCAGGTTGGGCTAGTTTTCTAGGTTGAGAATTCCATAGAGTGAGGTCACTCCACCTGACAGGGATAATACACGTTCCTCATACATACATGATAGTATTGCTGCCAACTCCTCCACTATCCCCTACCTGTTTTCAATTCCTTGGGATTTCTACTTTTGCATATATGAGTTTGACCCTGATGCTTCACCCTACACCAAGAAATCCTCACGCAAGGACAGATCCTTAGTTGGTGAAAATGGTCATAGCTCCTTGCATTTTGGTGAAAAACACCCCTTTGGCTATGGCAAGATGCACTGTTCTGTAGAAGCTTACTTTGCTCAGGTTTCCAGCAATACCTGAACAGCTCAGTAGCAACATGTACAATCTTTGGTTGCAAATCCAATTTAAAGGTTTTATTTCCATGCTGCAACAGTTCAGAATAACCTCAGGTGGGTTATTGTGATAAGAACATAAGAGTGGCCATTCGGGGTCAGACCAATGGTCCATCTAGCCCAGTATCCTGTCTTCTTACAGTGCCAAATACCAGGTGCTTCAGAGGGAATGAACAGAACAGGTAATCATCAAATGATCATAATCCCCTGTCATCTATCTGTTCACAGCTTCTGACAGAGGCTAGGGACATTTCAAAGCATAGTTTTACATACCTGCCCATCCTGGCTAATAGCCATTGATGGACCTATTCTCTATGAACTTATCCAATTCTTTTTTGTACCCTGTTATAGTTTTGGCCTTCACAACATCCTGTGGCGAAGAGTCCACAGATTGACTGTACATTGTGTGAAGAAATACTTCCTTTTTGTTTGTTTTAAACTTGCTGCCTATTAATTCGATTTGGTAACTCCCTAATATGGCAATTTTAAAATCAAGTTTGGACGTTTTTCTAAAAGCTATGCCCTAGGAATTATTTTGGGGAAGTTCTGTGTGATCAGACTACAAGATCACAGTGAGCCCTTTTGGCCTTGGAATCTGTGAACCTATAAAGAACAAAATTCCACTATGTCTACCTTTTTGAATATTGCTTCTTCTCTTGGCCTTCTATTCAATGGCTTTACACATCATGCTTGTCTCCATATGCGATATTATACTAAACTAAGGAATACACCTAATAGCTGCTGCGCTCTCTCAATTGTGCCCACTCCTGCATCGGTGCAAAAGGAGAGCAGGGGAAGAGGACAAAAGGAGCACTCTGTTATCTCCTAATGGCTCTTTGCAGGAGCTAAACATAGTTGGAGTGCTTGAGCACACGGAGTTCACAAAGTTAGCACCCACAGCTGCCCTAACTTTCACAAAGAGGACAGGAAGGTGTGGGCTGGTTCCCACAGGCTCTGGAATGGCCCCATGTCTGTGGGTGGGAGAGTTGCAGACACTGCATCCTTGGAAAAGGGATAGGGGGAACAGAAGCCACTTTCCCAGGAGTTCTGGAATGCATTCTTGGGCAGTGCACGTCTGTACCAACCTGTACACCAAGTTGTGGCTGAACAACTGCATTTGGACATCAAGTAACTCTTAATTCAAATCACATGATTAATATTGTGCTCAGGTCATTCCTTCTCACTCCCTCACAAGTGAATAAATAAGCACATCGGGAGCTGACATGACTGTATGCACAGAATCACAGGACTGGAAGGGATATTGAGAGGTCTTCTAGTTCTGTCCCCTGCACTCAAGGCAGGACTAAGTATTATCTAGAGCATCTCTGACAGCTGTTTGTCTAACCATCTCTTAAAAATTATGGAGATTCCACAAGCTCCCTGGCAATTTATTCCAGTGCTTAATTACCGTGATGGGAAGTTTTTCCTAATGTCCAGCCTAGACTACCCTTGCTGCAATTTAAGCCCATTGCTTCTTGTCCTATCCTCAGAGGTTAAAGAGAACAGTTTTTCCCCTCCTCCTTCTAGGAACCTTTTATGTACTTGAAAACTGTTATCATGTCCCTCCTTACTTTTCTCCACACTAAACAAACCCAATGATTTCAATCTTCCCTCATAGGTCATGTTTTCTAGACCTTTAATCATTTTTGTTGCTCTTCTCTGGACTTCCTCCAAATTGTCCACATCTTTCCTGAAATGTGGCACCCAGAACTGGACACAATACTCCAGTTGAGGCCTAATCAGTGTGGAGTAGAGCAAAAGAATTACTTCTCGTGTCTTGCTTATAACACTCCTGGTAATACATCCCAGAATGATGTTTGCTTTTTTTTGCAACAGTGTTATATTTAGCTTGTGATCCACTATTATCCCTAGGTCCCTTTCTGCAGTATTCCTTCCTAGGCAGTCATTTCCCATTTTTTCATGTGTGCAACTGGTTGTTCCTTCCTAAGTGGAGTATTTTGCATTTGTCCTTATTGAATTTCATCCTATTTTCTTCAGACCATTTCTCCAGTTTGTCCAGATCATTTTGAATTTTAGTCCTAGTCTCGAAATCACTTGCAACCCCTCCCATCTTGATATTGTCCATAAACTTTATAAGTGTATTCTCTATGCCATTATCTAAATCATTGATGAAGGTACTGAACAGAATCAGACAAAGAACTGATCCCTGCGGGACTCCACTCCATATACCCTTCCAGTTTGATTGTGAACCACTAATAACTACTCTATGGGAACAGTTTTCCAAGCAATTTTGCACCCATCTTATCGTAGCTTCATCTAGGTTGTATTTCCCCAGTTTGTTTATGAGGTCATGCAAGACAGTATGAAAAGCCTTACTAAAGTCAGGGTATACCACATCTACCACTTCCCTCCATCCACAAGGCTTGTTACCCTGTCAAAGAAAGCTATCAGGTTGCTTTGACATGATTTGTTCTTGACAAATCCATGCTGACTGTTACTTATCACCTTATTATCTTCTAGGTGTTTGCCAACTGATTGTTTAATTATTTGATCCATTATCTTTCTGGATATTGAAGTTAAGCTGACTGGTCTGTTATTCCCCGGGTTGTCCTTATTCTCCTTTTTTTAGATTGGCATTATATTTTCCCTTTTCCAGTCCTCTGGAATCTCATCCATCTTTCATGACTTTTCAAAGATAATAGCTAATGTATCAGATATCTCCTCAGTCATCTCCTTGAGTATTCTAGGATGTGTTTCATCAGGCCTGGTGACTTGAAGATATCTAACTTATCTAAGTAATTTTAACTTGTTCTTTCCCTATTGTAACCTCTGATCCTACCTCATTTTCACTGGCATTCATTGTTAGGTGTCCAATTGCTAATAAACTTTTTGGTGAAAAATGAAACAAAAACGTCATTTAGCACTTCTGCCATTTCTACATTTTCTGTTATTGTCCCTGCCGCTCCCCCGCCCCCCGCCCACACACACCTGTTGAGTAATGGGCCTACCCTGTCCTTGGTTTTCCTCTTGCTTCTAATGTATTTGTACAATGTTTTCTTGTTACCTTTATATCCCTAACTAGTTTAATCTCATTTTGAGCCTTGGCCTTTCTAATTTTGTCCTTACAAACTTGTGTTATTTGTTTATATTCATCCTTTGTAATTTGACCTAGTTTCCACTTTTTGTAGGACTTTCTTTGAGTTCCAGATCATTGAAGATCTTCTGGTTAAGCCAGAGTGGTCTCTTGCCATACTTCCTATCTTTGCTACACAGTGGGATAGTTTGCTCTTGTGTCCTTAATAATGTCTCTTAGAAAAACTGCTAACTCTCTTGAACTGTTTTTCCCCTTAGATATGCTTCCTAAGTTTGCTAAAGTCTCCCTTCTTGAAATTCATTATCTTTATTGTGCTGTTTTCCTTTCTACCATACCTTAGAATCATGAACTCTATCATTTCATGATCACTTTCACCCAAGATATTAACTGCTTTCACCTCACACCTCTCTTTTCCTATTCAGTCCTACTTTAGTCATATCCAACCATAATACTCACTTTCCCCTTCAAAATATATCAGCATGTCCACACTGCCCTTCCTTATTCTCAAATGAGCCTACTTGCTGCAGGAAGATCACAAAACAAATAAAATCAATTATCTACTTTGGTATATTCCTCTGACGTTACCTGTAGCTTTACCTTGCATCAGATTAAATCACATGACTTTAAATAGCAATAACAGTCAGTAAAAGACTAAACAATAACATCACGGAATACATTGTTTAGATATAGCATAAATACATGTATGTGTGAGTTTATAGACTAAGAAAAATGTATATTTTATTCTTCAGATTTAATTACTTTATATTTCTATAAAATATATTTGAATATTCATACAATGTGCATGCCATTTCTGTATGAATTTGTTTCTTTTGTAGCAGAATGAATGTATGGTTGTTATATAAAACTAAAACCAGTAGCAAAAGAACAGAATTTCTTTTTCAGTATGTAACTCTTGATCTGAGTTTTATGACACATTTTGATCCAATGTTAATTTTATAAATGGCTTTCCTGTTCCACAATTCCCATGAAAAAGGTATGCAGCTAGATGAAGACTCTTGGAAAATTTTAATGGGACCCTTCCTTGAAATCTGTTTGAATTCACCTTCTTGAAAAAAAGTCTGTCTAATGGGAGCTGTGCAAGTATCAGCAATTGTTATGCCTTTGAGGCAATTTTTATTCCATTCATAGTGGTTAAACTCTACCATTATAATGTATGAGTGTTTAAAATGGTCTCTTTGCTAAGTTGAAATTACAACGTAATAATGTATGATGATTGAGTTTTAGTTTGTTTGTGTGTAGCTATTGTTTTATTTTAATTTTTGTTTGATTTGCAACAATATCTGTATTTTCTTTTTACAGTCTTTTCCTGGTCCAAGTCTTGAAAGTGAAGATTTTAACATACCTCCCATAACTCCTCCATCATTACCTGACCACTCACTGGTGCACCTGAATGAGGTAGAGTCTGGGTACCACTCTCTGTGTCACCCAATGAACCATAACGGCCTGCTTCCATTTCATCCACAAAACATGGACCTACCTGAAATTACAGTGTCCAACATGCTTGGCCAAGATGGGACACTGCTTTCAAATTCACTTTCTGTGGTAAGAATTTTTAGTCTTTGATTTTAGGGCTAGTTTAATTTAGGTGGTTGTTTTTTTAAATGTGGATATCTATATCTATTTAAAATACTGTCAGTAGGCTATATCCAGGTATCCCTGAAATCATCACAACTGCTTCTGCTCTATCCCTAGTTTTACTCTTTATTACTGCTGCTTTACAGTGGTGTTATTATGAACCGAATCAGGCCAGTATCATTGACTTCAGATGAAACAGGTTTTAGCCCTGAATGACTGTGTTCTGTGTTTCTTTACCAGGTTCTTTCTATTGTGATTTGTTTGTACAGAGAGATCTACAGACATGTACTATTTCCTTTCTTGTTTACTGTACGTTAGGAAAACTGCAAATGTCTTTTTTTCACTCTAGGTCAAATCTTGCAGCCTTTTCACAATTCACAGTCCTTGTCCATACAGAGCTCCCATTGAAGTGATTGGGAGACTTAAGTCTTTGGGCCTGATCCTATCAAATAGTCATTATGGGTCTGGTCCTGAGAAGAATTTTAT